CAGCAGCCGCTGCTCGCCAGCAGCCCAGCTCTGAAGACAGCACCCCTCCTACAATAATCTTGTGACCGTCCCCCCTGCCCTACACCCACCACTTTTTCGGGGGCAAGTCCCTACAATTACAGGACCATGGATTTTCAGGTTAAAATAGCTGAAATGATATGTCTGATTTTTAAAATCCTCTGGCCATGTATTTGGTAGCCATGAGCCCGGGGCTAATAGATCAAACGATGCCGGACTCGTGACCCCTCCTACAATAATCTTGTGACCGTCCCCCCTGCCCTACACCCACCACTTTTTCGGGGGCAAGTCCCTACAATTACAGGACCATGGATTTTCAGGTTAAAATAGCTGAAATGATATGTCTGATTTTTAAAATCCTCTGGCCATGTATTTGGTAGCCATGAGCCCGGGGCTAATAGATCAAACGATGCCGGACTCGTGAGGCTATTTCCTGTCTGCCGTCTCAGGGGACCACCCTCGCCGGAAGCCAGAGCCGTGGGTGCGGGCTGGCGCAAGGCAGGGGATCTAACCAGAGGACAGCACGCAATGCAGCCCTCCTGACTTAGAGCAGCTCAAATAGCCCCTCCCCTCTTGGCACCCCCAGCTGGTAGCTTTAGCATGTACATCATCTGTTCCAGGGGCAAAGGGCCAGGGACTGTTCGGAGTAACGGGGCTTTCACATCAGGGCTACGAGTTCAGATTCAGTCCCAGTGCAGGAGTCATGCAGACCAATATTCCCCTATTTTGTTCCTTCCGTGTGCAGGATAAATTTTGTTTTGTGCACAGAGGCATGTGCAGATGTGCACCACCAATAGAAACACACCCTGCTGGCGGTGGGCGCTCTGCTCATCAGCTGGTCGGCACCTGAATATCTTCTGGGCAGCCCCCCAAACGCTCTGGTCCAGCCCATCTGAGGGCAGCTGGATTAAGTGGGAGTTCCATGAGCTAGGGGACAAAGCAAAGAGACCAAGGTCGAAATCCAGCTGCCTTCTCCCTAGAGAGACTTCAGGTCAGGGGAGCATCCCGGTGGGTGGGGAGCAGCTTGGAACATGGCTGCTGCCCACTGGGCTAGAGACTCTCGTCTCAGGACTTGGTCACCAACGCTCAGGTTTATACGTACAATAAGGTGGGGACTAATTTGGCTACAACTACTCCAGAGACAGACCTTGGCGTCAATGTGGAGAGTTCTCTGAAAACACCCTCTCCGTGGGCAGCGGCAGTGAAAAAAGCAAATAGAATGTTAGGAGTCATGAAAAAAGGGATAGAAAATATTATTGCCTCTCTATCAAACCATGGGGCGCCCATATCTTGAATACTGGGTACAGACGTGGTCGCCTCATCTCCAAAAAGAGCTCTAGGCATTGGAAAAGGGCAGCCAAAATGATGAAGTTTGGAACGGGTCCCAGATAAAGAGATTAAAAAGACTTGGACGTTTCAGCTTAGAAAAGCGGAGACTAAGGGGGGATAGGAGAGAGGTCTATAATACCATGACAGGTGTAGAAAAAGTGAATAAGGAAAAGTTATTTACTTGTTTGAACTAGGGGTCACCAAATGAAATTAAGAGGTAGAAGATTTAAAACAAACCAAAGGAAGTTTTTCTTCATGCAGCGCACAGGCAACCTGTGGAACTCCTCGCCAGAGGATGTTGTGAAGACCAGGACTTTAACAGGGTTCAAAAAAGAGCTAGATAGAGTCATGGTCCATCAATGGCTATTAGCCAGATTGGGTAGGAATGGTGTCCCTATCCTCTGTTTCTTTGGAGGTGGGTGACAGGAGAGGGATCACCTGAGGATTACCTGTTGTGATCCCTCCCTCTGGGGCATCTGGTATTGGCCACTGTGGGCAGGTTTGGTCTGACCCAGGCAGGGCCCGTTCCTAGGTTAATGACAGAATAAAAACTGGGCGTAGTGCTTCGGGTGCACCATTCAGCCTCTGGCTCAGTTGTAGCAGTGCAACTCCGACTTCCCTGGGGTGACTGTTTGCAACAGGGCCCTGTGGCTCTCGGGGGGGCGGTAGATTCTGTCCGTGGCTGGGGAGCCGATCTTGCTAGCGGTAAATCGCCCGGCGTGCTCTGGAAATACTGACTTTGCTTTCCATCCCCCGCCAGGAATGTCTTTTTATTTAGAAGACAGGAAATAACAAACCCAAGAATGTGTCCCACAATCAGCAAACTTCATTGTGGCCGAGGGCTTTTGCTCTCTCTAGTACCGTCAACCCGAAGAGACACTTCGCCGCCAGAACCAGCCCGTGAAGTTCCTGTTTGTGAGAGAGAGGGCCACTTGACCCCGACTACAGATGGCTGCAGCCCGACCGACGGCATTGCAGGGGGAACGCTGCTTTCCTGATGGACTTGCTTTAAAAAAAAAAAAAAAAAAGAGAGAGAGAGAGAGGGGAAAAAAAAATGGCTGGGATTCTCTTCTAACACCATGCATCAACAAAAAAAAAATAATTTGCTGAGTCAGAATGATCACAACAAGTAGAAAACTTTCTGTGAAATGAAAAATAAAATAAAATTTACTTAAACTGTGGGGATTAAGAATTAAGACCCAGCAAAACCAATTGTCCGCCCTGGGA